TCTCCCTCCCTCCCTCTCTCCAAAATAAAAAAAATAATAATAATAAAAAAAAGAATTAATCTGGAGAAGATCTTGGTTCTACATTGTTCTTTCTAATCCCACAGCCTACTCTGGCAGTTAAGGGCACCATTTCTCTATGGATTGTAAATTTGGGTTAGGGCACACTTGGAGGGTAGAAAGTCAAAGCTGACCTCAGAGAAGGATAAAGTGTGGAACTCTGGTTGTGCTTTTAGGGAGCAAGAGAGTTTGTTATAGTGAATGTTGAAGGCTTTGCTTCTGGACATCTGGAGGTACTTTACTAGGTAGTTCTCAAAGTCCAGTTGTGGAGTTCCTAAACCTATATGTAGCCAAAAGCTTTGCTCCAAGCCCATTTCTTCACTAAGCATACACTTAGTTCCAGCTTTCTTTAGATACACATGTCTGTGTTGAACCTTGATATTTTCCCCTCAGGATACCCTTTATGTTCATTCAAACTTGATTTCACCTCCATACAAAGATGCATGTTGGGCAATAGCTGATTTCCCTCTATAAAGTAATGAAGGGCAGGGAGGACCACCCATGAGACCAGTTGTGAATCCCCCAGGATGATTGGGATGGGAGAGGTAAATGGCTGTTAAGTTGGGAGCAGGAGAATAGTCCCAGGGTGTAGGTGGAAATGGAATTGAAGGGGAACTACTTCTAAACCAGAATTGGTCTTTCTGCTGACAGCTACTTGGAGGTGAAATGTTCTCTGTGTATTGTGGGGATCCAGGCCCTGGCAGAAATGGATCGGTGGCGGGAAGTCCTCTCCTGGGTCCTTCAATATTACCAGGTCCCTGAAAAGCTACCCCCGAAAATCCTGGAGCTGTGGTAGGTCCTTTTTGCTGGCACTAGATCAGTACTGGAACAAGAGGATTTTTCTCTTCTCTCCTGAATCTGGATCTAATACTTCTTCTTTCTCCTTCCCTAACCATTTCCCTCCAAAGCTAATCCTCCCTGCTTTTGTCAGACCTCAAAATAGCAGTAAAGGATGAGAAAGGGGGATTTTAGGACTGGGATAGAGGAAAAGAAGAAGAGGAGATAGGGAATAGGAGTGAGGTGGGATGACCAGTAGATAGAACTGAAGGAGCTGCTTGCTACTTCCTAGGAATTCCTAATTCTTTAACAATGTCAGCATTCTATAGGGAATGGCTGGAGGACTTGGGAGGGGTTTGATAGGAGAAGCATAGTGGTTATGAGAAATAACCAACTATGGAGCACTGACTCTACTTTTTTTGGGGGGGGGAATTGCATTATTTGGGGATGCAGTATTCTTTTATACAGCAAAATGCAAGAGCCTGGAGCAGTGCTGAATGTGGTCTGTTCCTGGCTTCAAGACCCAGACAACCAGCGCCTTCCAGAATATGGAGCTTTGTGTGAACTCCACCTACAGCGGGTGCTGCTGCCTCTGGGCCGCTTTTTGGAGGCTGAAAAGCTTGTGATGGGCTCTGCAGCCTTTGGTGAGGAGCAGCGACTAAAAGTGCTCCAGACCATTCATGCAGCGAGGCAACAGCAGAAACGGGAACATTCAAGCTCCCAGGAGGTCCAGAAACTAAACCAGGAAGGTAGGATTATACCTCTGTGGTCTCTATAGAGTGGAATTGCGGACTTTGCCTCCATCTTGAGTCCTTCAAGGCTTTCCTAAGACCTTGGGAGCAATTCTTTGTATGAATAACTCTTGAATCACAGAAACTTGATGAATTGCCTAAAAAGCCAACCAGACCCTCTAAAGTTTGCAATGAAATGAGACTCTCCATAAAGGGTTGGGGTTTATGGATCTCTGAATTGTGATTCTGGTCTTCTGAAGGTCACCTTCCTTTTGAGGGCTGATCAGTCATCATCTCCTTGAGGTCCTCTCATTAGATATCTTGCTTCTACCATAATAGCCTGGTGGGATGTCAGTCCTCCTTTAAATGCTGGCCCCAACACAGACAAATATGAGATATACTCAGGATAGCTGAGAAACTAACATCATAATTTGGTAGCTTGACTTTATGTAGTAAGTATTACTTGTTTTCAGCTTTTGGTTCCTGCCCAATTCCAGTCTACCTTCACTTAACTAGAGCTTTTGAGTATTTCTATTTTCTTGAGGTCTAACTTGCTCATTTGGATGCAGTTTTACACAATGGCTTCTAGTTAGCATCATTCTAGGATCACCTACACAAAGGTGAGTGTGGGGATTGTTCTGTTACACGAGAATTTAAAGGCCCTGTACTCCAGACCCTGCCCCTGATCCTTAAATCCTTTCATCTCCCTTTCCTTGAGTTTTTGTGTGAATACTTGCAAAGATAGAACATTCATTATCTCCTGAAACAGCACATTCCATCTCTAGACAGTTCTGCAGAAAAATTCTTTATTATGCTAAATTTCATCTGGGAGTCTTTTTGTTGTTTTGTTTTTTAATTAACAAAGGTCCTTCAGTTTAATTAGGAGACTGTAATCCTGTTCTCAAAAATATTATTCTTGGTGTGCTTAAAAGCATCAACCTGCTGAGGTAGAATCACTTCTTTGCAAGCAGGTTGCTGGCTTCAGGGATCATGTGTGGCTGCCTTGGCCCTCTACCCTGCACCTCCTGTGAGGGAGAGGGTGAGAAGAGATGTTTGATGGCAAGTCCAGATTCTTCTTTCAGGACTGATACCGCTTGCCTTTGTGCTGGCAGTATTCATGCTTATATTCATAATCCAAGACTATTGAATTCTTCACTATATATATTAAGTGCCTTTCATTTCACTGTGTTAATGTAATAGTCAGAATTGTGGGTCTGTGTTACTCTTATGTATGTGTCATAAGCCAGGCTATAAATAAGGCTATAAAATAATGAGACCATTAAAAGAAACACCGTATATGCTGGGTTTACTCAGCTAAGTAGGTGTTGTCTGCACATGACAGTCAGTTGGTGATGCAGTCTGTCCTCAAAACATTTTCGAAGCTTTTGGAATTTCCTTTTGAATAACTTCATGAGGTAACTCTTATAATTTAGCTCAGAACTGAACCTATCCTCCTAACTTACTCTGAAGTTACACTCTGTCCCCTGACCAGGCTCATTTTCCCACAAGTTCCTGTCACTACTGATGCTGCTTCGTCGGCTTTGGGACTGTGCTCTGAGCTACTTTCTTTCTCTATCCTTCAAGAAGAGCCTCCTTGCCACATTGATCCTTTGTCTCTTGGTGGTAAGGTTTGATCCAGGTAAGTGAGAACATTCCACACCCTCCTTTCTGGGGAAGGGGTCCTTGACAGTGATTGGGCCTGTGGGAACAGTTGCTTTTCTGTACTCCCATCAGAGCCCTGCTGGGGATGGAGCCATGGACTACAACATTGTTCCCTAAGCCTCTGCCACAATGAGGATTTAAGCAGAAGTCAGCCTTACCTGGAAGGAAAGACTAGCTGTAGACTCTATGGGAGCAGTTTGGAGAAAATCCACTCTGCAATTTGAGTGTTCTGAACACTGATGGAGTCATGTGGATGTCTGCTTTATTTAGGGGTGAAATCTGACTAGCACCTCAGAATTAAAAACAAAACAAACCTTCTTCATTATGAATATTTAAAAGAGTGTTAATCTAAGTATAATGTCTAATTAATGTTTATAAAATTGTTAATGTTACAAATATTAAATTGTAAGTGAAATACTTTTACATTTTAGAAAACTGTGGAGATAGGCACAGTGGTACATGTCCATAATCCCAGCTACTTAGGAGCTGAGGCAGGAGAATCACAAATTCCAGACCAGCCTCAGCAATTTGCCCAAAATTAAAAAAATAAAAACAAGGCTGGGGCTATGACTCAGTTATAGAGTGTTCCTGGGTTAAGTACCTATTACTGCTAAAGTGGGGAGGGGAGTGGAAAACAGAGAAAAGCATAAAGAAGAAGAAGAAGAAGAAAAAAAATCACCTATGCTTACTATTGCAGTGGTTAAACTTGCAGTCTTTTTCTATAGATATGGATATGGTAGTATGGTAGGCAGTTTTATGTATCATAAGTATTCTTTTAAGCATGGCTTTAAATAGCCTAAATAATATTTCAATTTATAGAAATTCCCATAATTGATTTAAATATTCAACATTCTGATGACGATTCTGTTTTCTGTCTTACTACAAAGTAGAAAGTGATACTTTGGACACCGTTGATTATTTCCTGAATTAACTGTTCAGATGTATAAACACTGGACCAAGGTTAGACAAACGTGTTTAGATTATTTTTTTCTGTTACTTTCTGTGAGTTATGATCTAATTTCCACTCTGTTTATTAACTCAGACTTAAAGTTATATGACTTTAACCCTTTTGCTGTATTCTGAGTAGAAATTTCCTCCAGAAAGTCCTATTTGCTGTACGAAGTCACTAGGTGGCTCTCAAAACTGGTAAGGATAGGGCTGGGATGTTAGATTGGTGGTGGAACACTTGCCTAGCTTGTGCAAGGCCCTGGATTTAATTCCGGGCACCACAAAAAAAAAAAAAAAAAAAGCTAGTCTGTGTTCTTTCTTATTATCTACCCTTTGACTTTCTACTTTGTACCAGAGACTTCATAAAAACTTAGAAATTCCTTATGGTTCCTCTAAGCCCTTTAGTTTCATAAATGCTGATCTGAATGGGGATAGCAGGCCATTTGAACTTGCTGCTCAGAGCTTCTTCAGAAGTGCCTTGGCCTAAAGGAGGAGAGGATCTGCAAGTGGACCACAGTTAGAACTGCTAGAAAGGATATAAGAACAGTTGACTATTAGTAGCTTTAAAAACAAAAAACATTTTTTAAGGGTGGAGGGTGAAGTTCAGTGGTACAGCATGTGCTCTCAGCATGGTCAGAGTTCTGGGTTCCATCCCTAACGCCAGACAATTTTTTAAGTTTCTCTTTTCTTGTTTTGTTTTTTTTTTTCATTTTTATATGTGGTCTCACCATGTTGCTCAAACTGTCCTTGAATCCCCGGACATAAATGATCCTCCTACCTCAGCCTCACAAGTATTAGGCCCATTTTTTTTTCAAAGAAAAAAAGTATATTCCCTGTTAAATCAGTAATTCAAACAAAGAAAAGAAAAAACCTGGTAGATCTTATTTTATATTATTTTCAGTATAATTAACTTTTATAGTAAATTATCATATGGCTTCAAATTTAAAAGGTACAGAAAGGTACAAAATGTAGTGAAAGATTATCCCCAAATTATTCTTCCAAAGACAGTCACTGTTGCCTGTTTTTTTAATATTAAAAAGTTAGATTAAATCCAGATCTTTTTCTTAGAAAATTTAAGGTCATTGTAATTCAAGTGGAGAAACCATATCCCAGAGAAAGTGAGATTCCTTATTATTGAAGAAGATGCAAATACCATGAAGCACCAAGTACATATCCTCAGGTGGCAGAGCTCCTGAGGACCAAGTAATGGGTGGAGTGAAAAGGGGCGTGTGAGAAGGGACACTTACCAGAGTCTTTCCCTCTTCCTACAGCGTCTCCTTCTTCCCTGCCCTTCCTCTACCAGCTGGCTCAGCTCTTCCACCGGATCCGGAAGGCCATGTTTGCTCGCCTCTACCAGCTTCCCCTCCATGACTGAGTAGTCTTCCACCTGCACCCTGGCCTCTCATTTTCCACCTTTGTAGGAGAATATTCTTTTCCCTGATGCCAGCCAGGTCCCTGTAGTAATTGGGGCGAGCCTCATTCCAGGGGGAACATTCTGGATGGGTGAACTTTGTCTTGCTGCTCTTATGCCCTTCTCTCTGCACCCTTTGCCTCTCCTTGGTGGAGAATGTGGAAACAAAGTGGGGCCAGAGCACACAGCTGTCAGAACTGCACCCTCTTACACTCAGGCCTCTTGGGAGGAAGGGGTTTGGGAACGGGGAATGTGTCCCTGAAACATTCCATTTTCTTGGCAAAGGCAGGGGGTGACCTTCCAGGTCAGGGTGTTGACAGAGCAAAAAGTTCAGAAACATCCTAGTGGAGTGACCCTTGACCTTTTACTTCCTTGAAAAACTTATTTCTGAATATCCTCTTACAGGGCAGCACCTTAATTAGAGTGAGTGAGATCAGAGAGAACTTCTCTCTTTTCTCCTCTATTTCTCTCCACAGACCTGTTATAATTGTGAATCAAGTCACTGTTCCCCCGGTCCTGCAGTGGGTGTGAAGGCTTCCTGAGTCTTGAGGCCTCTCTCTGCTTGGAATGGGGCATGGCTTTCAGAACACCAAGGTGACCACTGAAAGCAAAGTGAGCCCGCTCAGCCTTTATCACTGGGTAAAGTGATCTTGCTTGGTGCCTCTTGGTATTCAGCTCACTTTTCCAGCATGTCAGTGGCCAAATCCTGCTCAATTACATTCAGTGTCCTTGCCCACTCTTTCAGCCTGCCACTTTCTCTCTCCTTCCTGAAAACTGCCCCATAGTTGTTTATCCAGATTCTGTCTGTATCATTGTGACTTTGGTACATGCGGTGGCAGATCCTCCCCGTCATGTCTGTCCTAATTATGTTCTATCGTTTGTATAATGCCCAAGTTTTTCTGCTTCTGTAGGCTTGAAAAGTAGGTCAGCCTCAGAGGCTGACGAGCTGAAAATGGAACTGGGTAATCAGGTGAGCTGGAAGGAATGTGTGGGGGGCTGGGCTGAGGTAAGATGTGGTCTTTGAAGCCAGTGAACAATAGGCTTTAGAGGAGGAAACACTGGATCCTCGGCATTGAGGAGTTGAAACATTTCAGTTTTTTTTTTTTTTTTTTCTCCTTGGCCACAAAAATCGTACACATTTCTTTGTAAGTAAATGTAGAGTACTACTGTATGTCAGAATCATGAAAACTTCCAGCCAGGGCTGGCCTCTTCATCGAAGTCCAAGCAAGCTGCCCATACTGGGACCCCAGTCAACATTGATGCCAAGGATACTTACTAGCTTGTGTTGGTCCATTTTCAGGGTTTGTGAGTTAACAACTTCTCTTTAGAGAAAACAAACATCACAGACCCTTGGAATTAAATCTAAAACTCTAGGACATGGTCCAACTCTTTGCAAGAAGCAAATCTATGCTTTGTATAATAGCCTTTAAATTGAACTTAGAACCCCAGAAAGACAAAGGGAATCAGGCAAAGTGTGAGATCCCTCCTTTGGAGTAAATTTTTCTTTGTTTTTGAGGTGGAGGTCTTGCTGTTTTGCCCAGATTGGCCTTAAACTCCTGGGCTCAAGTGATCCTCCTGTTTCAGTCTCCTTAGTTACTGGGACTTACGTACCTGGCTTAGGATGATTTCTCAAAAATGAAAATCTGGTCCCATTCACAACCCTAGAGAAAATCTTTAGTGGTTTCCATGATCCCTAGGATAAAATCCAGATTCTTCATGTTTGTTAAGGCCTGTTAGGTGTAGGTTTCGGTGAAATACCTCCATGTGTCTGGGGCCTCTATTCCTTAGACATGCTGCTTCCAACCACCAGGCAATCAGGGTTTCCTCAGGCCTCTGTAGCTTGATGCTCCTGCTGGAAGGCCCTGTATTTGTTCTCTGTCTGGGGAGCTCCTCAACTTTCTAGTCATGTTCCAGGGAGCCTCTAGGAATCCTTCCCCAAGCCCTCCTGCTTCCAGGCCTTTTTTTCTTTTTTCTTTTTTTCCCCTTGTTATCCCTTGTGCAGTCATGACCTATAGTTGCATAATTCCTCATTGCTTCTGGTGTGCTGAGCTGTTTGAGGCTGGGGAGTGTGACTGTGGTGGTTTTTAAGAGTAGGGCTCAGATCCTTTATGTAATCTTTTATCTTTCTCAACCTCAGGCTCTCATTTCTTAAGTTCTTATCCCACAAGGACTTTTGGATGAGTAAAGAGGTTGTTCATAAGGAAGCACTTAGCACATTCTGCCCTAGGGGGGAGCTCTTGTGAGTGTTTGCAGTTACCAGGTCCAGTTGTATCCCAGGGCCCAGCAAGGAGCCTAGAAATGAGAAGGTGCTCAGAGGGGTTAATGAGTGGATTGATGTGACATAAGAGGGCTACATGCTTTTGGTAAGTTTGTGCAATTTTGTGTTGTGAAAACCCTGAACATAAAGACTTGATTATCCCCAGCTCATTGTTTTGCACTCTCTGAAGCTCCCCAGTGTCATTCAGCTTGCAGGCCTTTAAGGTCTCTGTTCTGAACTCTGCAGTGCTTGCTGGGTACAGCCGCAGCTACCTGTCTAATCAGGTGAGGAACTATGGATGTAGGCAGGTGCTCATATGGGTCTTCAATTCTGGGCTTAATGAGGTCAAGTGAAGAGAGGGCTTTCTTGTCAGACTTACTAAACTTGCACTATTCAATACTTTGGCCATTAGCCAAATGTAGCTTTTGAGCATTTGAAATGTGTCCAGTCCAAATTGAGACATTCTGTTTATGTAAAATACACACTGGATTTTGAAGACCAAATTAAAAAAAACCAAAAAAACGGAAACTCAAAACTATTTTTTTTTATGTTGATTGCATGTTTAAATGATAATTTTGGACATATTAGATTAAATAAAATCTATTAAAACTAATTTCATCAGTTTCTTTGTATTTTTTGAACTGAGGCTCCTAGTCTGTTTAAAGTGACCTATGTGGCATGCACTAGGGTGGTGCTGTTCAACACATACAACACACACCAGCAATTTAGAGGGGGATCAGAGAAGTGCAGTGTATGGTGGGATTTGGAGGATATTAGAAGTGGAAAGAGCCTCAGTGGCAGATCACATCTTATAACCCTCTTTTTTAGCTAAAGAAATTTAGACCCAGAAAGGTAAAGCCATTTGCTCCAAGTCACAGAGCCTCAATAAGAGTCAGGTCTCTCAACTCTTGGGCCTGGTGTTCTCACTTGCTCTCCAAATCCTCACTGTCACTGCTAGTATAAAGTTCATTATAGGCAGATATATCCAAAAGGGGAAAATTTAGCTAGAGTTAGCTGGTTAGTTCTGTAGGGTTCTGAAGGAATGCAACATGGGAGAAAGATTTTTCACTTCAGTGGTGGTTAACAGGGGTATGAGGGTCTGAGAGGATGGAGTATAGTGGAGAAGAAAAATTAGGCTACTGTGGGAAATCATGGGGTGGAGGTGGGTAGGCAGCAGAATAGCTAGTACCTGGAGGAGGATGTAGAATTCTTCTAAAAAGGTGATCAGAAAGAATGTCACTTCATGGCCTCATGCAAGTGATCCCCACTCTTGCATGTAAGTATCTGCATGTATGTATATGAAGACCATATAGAATTTTATACATACGGTATAGAATGCAAAAAGGTACAAAATTTATGGAAAGGAAAGTTTATTTTTCTACCCTGTTCATTCTGAATCCCCCATTTCCTGCCCAGAGGCAACCACTGCTTTGAGTCTGTTTCTTTTTCCAGACATAGTCTCAGATGTTAAGTTTCTCTTTCTCTTAAACAAATGATAGTATACTACACCCTTACACACAACTTTTTTTAAACTTAATTTGGGATCTTTGTTCCCTGTCAGCACATGTAGAACTTCTTAATTCTTCACTGCTAAGTATTATTTCATTGTGGGCTAGGATCACAGAGCCTATCCCTTTTCTGTTTTTTTCTAATTGTAGAGATAGGTCTTACTATGTTGCCCAGGCTGGTTTTGAACTCCTGGGTTCAAGTGATCCTTCTGCCTTTGCCTTCCAAGTAGCTACCTTTTCCTTTTAAGTTTGCCGACATCTCTCATACATTTTTATTGTTACTTCTCTGCAAACACAAAGCAGGCTGCTCTACCTGCCCAATAACTACCCAAACTGCATTGGGTTCGGGAAGGGCTTTTCACACTCTGAACATGCAATGTACCCCCCCAAAAAAATCTGCACTCAATCTGTCCTTCCCACCTGGTTAGAACAGCCAGAAGAAATAGCAGAAAGAAGTCCTGATCTGACTACAAATAGGGTACTACCAAGAACCTCACCCTTGCTTTCCTCTCCTTGCATTAACCTCAGGGTTAATAGACTTTGACCTCAGCTGCTCAAAGGTGTGGTTGTAATTCTACTGATTTTACCTTGGCCTTAGTTAAGCAGCTGCATGCAATCTGGCCAAGGTTGGCCTCCCTACCCTGCCCTAGCACATTGTTAGAACTATACTACTTGGAGTGTTTACTAAAAAAATGTAGGGCCCTTTTGCTTCTCTCCCTTTGGAAACTAGTATTTAGGGCTGGAAAGAAGCTAAATTAAAGGCCATGGGTGCACTGCTTCTCTTGGCAGCTTATCAGTCCCCTCTGTGTCCCTTCTTCTCCAGTGATGAAGAAAGGAGGAAATGGGGGTCCTGATACCATTTGAGTCTCTAGGCGTCTTGATAAAACAGTAAACAGTTTCTTAAAAAAAAAAAATATATATATATATATATATATATATATATATATATATATATATATGTATGTTACATGTAAATATATTTGACATAAGTATATAAAACAAATATATTTTAATTTTTTACTTTTTGCAGTCCTGGGGATGGAACCCAGGGCCTTGCTAATGCCAGGCACAAGCTCTATCACTGACCACATCTCCAGGTCTGTTTTGCTTTAAAAGCAGTCCCCACCTATGCCGGGTTTTGCTTTCCATAGTTTTAGTTTTCTGTGGTCCACACTGGGTTGTACTGAACCTTTATATAGTTACAGTAAGATTTTTTGAGAAATACCATATTCACATAACATTTATTACAGTTTATAATTGTTCTACATTATTTTTGGACATTGCTAATCTCTTCCTCTACCAACTTTATAAATTAAACTTTATCATAGGAATGTGTGTACAGGAAAAAACAGTAGACACAGGGTTTGCTATTTTCTCCAGTTTCTGGTACTAAATTCAGGGTCTTGAAGTATCCCCTTTGAATGAGGAGAAGAGGACTACTGTAATTATATTTTAGAAAATATTAAAAGTTAATGACTACATGACTAATGATTCTGCAACATGTACATTCAGAAAAATAAGAAATTATATTCCATCTATGTATATCAAAGTGCATAAATGCATTCTACTGTCATGTGTAACTAATTAAAACAAATTAAAAAATTTAAATAAAAAAAAGTTAAATAGAAGAAATATAGATAGGCCTTGTGGTTCCACTCATTGATGATCACTGTTAATATCGGTTGATTTTCTTTTTTAAATTTAAACACCCAATCCTGTAGACAGCCCTGGCCTTTTGAGAATCTTGTGAAAATGGCAGTTTGCAGACAGAATGATTTGTGTATTTACAGGGACCAATAGGCAGCTGCCCCAGGAGAAAAGGTGATCTCAGAAAGGGAAGACTGGGGACAAGGAGCTGGGCAGAGTTGCTCTTC